CCGATTTTTCGGGGAATCCCCGTCCCCGACCGGGGCGGGTGGACCGGGTTACCCGACGGGTCGGGGTCCATTCCCATCCCTACTTGCTGCAACATCTCATCACTACCCTCTGAATCACTATCCTCCTCACTACTATCTTTAAATGATTCCATCTTTTCACCTAAGATTTCCTCTAAAGCTTCCTCGTGACACCATGACTTTATAGTATCAACCACAAAATAGTCCTCTTTCTCCTCAGGATATTTCATCGAGTTAAAAACATTAAAAGTGACATTTTGATCATGCACTCTCATGATCAACTCTCCTTTTTGGACATCAATGAGAGTTCTACCAGTGGCTAGAAAGGGTCTTCCTAACAGAATAAGGGTGTCTTTATTTGCCTCAAAGTCAAGGATTATAAAATCAGTAGGGAATATGAATTTGTCCATTTGTACCAACACATCCTCTATCTTGCCATTGGTAAATGCTATGGATTTATTAGCCAACTATAAAGTAACAATGGTTGGCCTAGCCTATCCTATCTCTATGGTATTAAACACAGATAAGGGCATAACATTGATGCTAGCACCTAAATCACACAGGGCTTTTCCAACATGCTTCCCACCTACTAAACAAGGAATTATGAAACTTCCAGGGTCTTTAAGCTTAGGAGGAAGTTTGTTTGACAAGAGGACACTACATCCTTCAGTAAGGGCCATAGTCTCATATTCAGTCAATTTCTTTTTCTTACTCAAGACATCTTTCAGAAATTTGGCATAACTGGGCATAGTCTTAATTGCCTCCACCAATGGAACATTGATGTGCAATTGTTTGAATACATCCAAGAACTTTTTATACTGAACTTCCTCCTCCTGGTTTCTTAACCTCTATGGGTAAGGAACATAGGGTGGAACCGGGTTAATCACTGGTTTCTTAGGATTTTGGACAGTAGGCATGGTAGGTACACTATCTGATGGTTTGGATGGTGGTGTATCAACATGGTCTTTGGGTGGTGGACCTTTGACAACACTATCTGGACTTGGGTGGTGGACCTTTGACAACACTATCTGGACTTGGGTGGTGGACCTTTGACAACACTATCTCACAGCCACAACACTTTTTTTTTCTCTTTCAACATGTTTTTCTCCAAATGAAGTGATAAGATATAATCTTATCTCTTTCTTTCTTTAAATACTCTCACCACGGCGATGGA